TAGGTTTTAAGTTTAAATAAATAAATATAAATTATTATAACAAACTTTAGCTATTTAAAAAAAAGAAAGATGACCTATTATATGATGATTAAGTATATAACTATAAAAGTTATTTTGCTTTTAGTAATCTAACTAAAGGCAAAAGAGCTATGTACAGAGATAGAAGGATGTATAAGTTGCATCAATAATGCTAATAATTAAAATTAATGTACTCAGTGTGATATGGATTACTAATTGGACTCAGAATAAAATTTATGCATTTATATTAAATGTAATAATTATTAGTTTTTCGATAAGTAATAATATGATGGCAGTCAAGAGAGCGGTTGCGTAGCTATCTGTAATTCTTCTACCTAACAAGATGATAAGACAAATTTGTGCAAAACTCAATTAAGATGTAACACTTAAAGACCTTCATAACAAATTATGCAGGAAAAAGTCATCACTAAAGACTTTTTTATATATCAAGATGATTATTATGTTGCCTAAAAAGAAGGATCTCTCTTTATCTATAATAGGACTGATGTTTCTCTCATAAAAAATATGTAATTCTAAACCAATGATCTTCTCTTATTTCACATAAATGATATAGTTTTCATAAAAGGAGCTGATTATTATTTATCTATATGGGATATTAAGAGTGACTCAAGAAAATCAATACAATACAAAGATATGATCTCGTTTGATTCAATTACTTCGTTTTAAAGTTAGTATAGCATAGCTTACATTTAACAATAAGAATAAATTTAATTATAAATTGTTTATGATGAACTGAATCAAATATTTTCTTTTTCTAATCCCTTTACAATAAGCGTTATCGCAAAATCAATTAAATTTATTGGCTAATATATTTTTATCTATGATTCATAAAAAATTTTAGTTTAATAAATAACAGTAAATTATGTTGAGAATAATCGCTTGAATTTGTAAGTAATAAATAGTTTTATTGTATAAAATATGCCACAAAGCACCTTTTTTGATATTCACTCCACATCTTAGAATGGAATTTACTGCTCATGTTTTGATAGTTCAGTATTTAAAATCAATTTGAATAATAATTCATTTGATTAAA